GAGACCCCAACCCCACAGAACGTTTAAGAGAACCTGCAAAACTGGTCTGAGGTCAGGGGAGGGGGGAGGGGGGCTGTCTGTCACTCATCTGTTCATTTTAACATGTTTTATTTCTCCGTCTGATCTTTGGTTTGTTTGACCGTCTCTGGTTTCTCTGGTTTACATTTTAGGGTTCAAAGAAGAAGCGACTGATGCTGTAAAGTTCACAATCAGAAACATGATATACAGTATATATAAATATATATTTATATGTGTAAATATATTATTTATATATATGTGTTTGCTTTTTACAGGTTTTGTGTTGCTTTTCTTTCACCGATAGCCTGCGTTTTTGGAGGCAGGGGTGGGGCATAACTCCCTTTTTTATAGCTTTAACTCTTTTTGAGGGAGAGAAAAAAATAATAATCCAAATGCAAAAATGTTTAATTTCTTCAACAAACCAAATCCGTTTGCTAAAAAAGAGTGAAAAGACAAAAAAGAGGGAGAAGCGCTCGGCGTTCAGCTCACAGAGCCTCAGAGTCATAGCTGGTTCAGTGTCCTGCCCTCTGCTGGTCATTTGTATAAAAGCTGCTCCAAAAAACAAACAAACAAAAAAACAGTCCGAGCTCAGAGCTCAGAGCTCTCTGTGTCCCGACTGTGTCTGTTCCAGCTTCCTGTCCTGCCACCCAGTCATGTGACCACAGGCCAGCTGATTGGTGCTCTTCTGGTCCACCTGCAACACAAACATCCTATTTATTCTCTTTTATTTATTGGTCATTTTTTACTTTCGCCATCGTTTGAGTCAAAAATCAGAAAAACTCGGTCGCATCTTCTGCAAAATGTGGTACGGCTGTTTTAGGGGGTGCTGAGCTGATTTGTTTATTTTTTGGTGTTTTTGTTTTGTTATTGTTTTGTTTTCTAGACTCGCTGCAGCAATAAGTGAGTGAGATCCTGCGTATCGATCGCCCTCCAGCCCGACTCTCTCTCTCTCTCTTCTCACTGTATTTGCTTTTTCCTCTCATGTCACACTTTACTGTACATTTTGTACAAAGATTCAAATTATAGCGATAAAAGAAGAGTGTAACACTGTGTCTATCACACATGCACACACAGACACACACACACAGACACACACGCACTCACACAGACACACACACACAGACACACACGCACTCACACAGACACACATGCACACACACAGACATGCACACGCACACACACACACACACGCACTCACACAGACACACACACACAGACACACACGCACTCACACAGACGCACATGCACACACACAGACATGCACACACGCACACACAGACACGCACACACAGACACACACACACAGACACACACTCACACACATGCACACAAACATGCACACACGCACACACAGACACATGCACACACACACACGCACACACAGACACACACTCACAGACACACACACACAAACATGCACACACACACACGCACACACAGACACACACACACACATGCACACAAACACACACAGACACACACAGACACGCACACAAACACACACAGACACACACACAGACACGCACACAAAAACACACACACACACACACACGCACACGTAACCACACACACATGTACACACACAGACATGCACACACGCACACACTCACACACACACAGACACACACACACACACACACACACACAGAGTTCAATGTGTTTGGAGTCCAGATTAGAACATAAACATCATTTTAGCTGCTTTTACAGGTTATCAGTTCTGAAAGCTGCAGTTTCTTATTATGGCTTTAAATTCTGATATTATCATTAATATTATAGTATAATTATTGAGCTGCTGATGGTTTAAATCTGGACGTCAGTTTCTCTCCAACATTAAGGAATATTCTGATAATTTTCCTGTGGAATTCCAGTTAGTGCTGTTGTTCTTTCTGAAGGTTGACGAACTTGAACTTGAGCAGCTGAAGCTCCATCAGCTGCAATATTCTCTGTTAAACTGATCAGTAAATAGTAAATTTATGTGAATATTTTTCATAAATTTGTTCATTAATTAATATTAGTTTTTATTTCCCAAAGACATGATGTCATTGAGCCACTTTGAGTCTGAATTTAGTTCTAAACTCAGTGAAAGTGTCTGTTTTAGAATAAAAACTATGAAAATGACTTTTAAGGAAAAATAATGGAATATTCCTTTAATGTTTCTGTTTTACAGCATCGCTGTGTGTTTAATACACAAGTTCTGTGTAGAAAAGAAGGACCACACATACACACACACATCCACGTGTATATATGTGTGTATATATATATGGAGTGTTTTAAACACCTCAGTGTCGCTGCTGGACTGAGAATAGTCCACCAACCAAAAATATCCAGACAACAGCGTCCTGTGGGCAGCATCCTGTGACCACTGATGAAGGACTAGAGGATGACCAACACAAACTGTGCAGCAGCAGATGAGCTATCGTCTCTGACTTTACATCTACAAGGTGGACCGACAAGGTAGGAGTGTCTAATAGAGTGGACAGTGAGTGGACACTGTTGAAAAACTCCAGCAGCACTGCTGTGTCTGATCCACTCGTACCAGCACAACACACACTAACACACCACCACCACGTCAGTGTTACTGCAGTGCTGAGAATGACCCACCACCCAAATAGTACCTGCTCTGTGAGGGTCCATGGGGGTCCTGACCACTGAAGAACAGGGTAAAAGGGGGCTAACAAAGTATCAGAGAAACAGATGGACTACAGTCTGTAACTGTAGAGCTACAAAGTGCTCCTATATAGTAAGTGGAGCTGATAAAATGGACAATGAGCGCAGAAACAAGGAGGTGGACTTAATGAAGCAACTGGTCAGTGTGTATTACATAAATGTAAAAAGAGCAGTTTGGACCGTGTTTACAGTCAGTCTGATCTCACGCTTAAATAATATTTATATATCCTTAAAAAAAACCTTTGTATGTCTTAAAGGACGGTTCCACCATTTTTTCAACATTCAGAGTGATTCAGAGTGGTTTGGTGTGAAATGGTTCAGATGTCTTTACAGTGGTGGTGATAGGAACCAGGGGTCACCATGACTACAACACAAATATAGACATTTTATTTACTATCCAGACCACCAGTGAACCTACACGAGTCTTCTGAGTTTATATGGAATGTTGATGATGGAAAATAGTGGAAAATCTGAAATAATAAGTTTTCTTTGGGGACTATTTTGCCTCACAGCGCCCTGCATGTATCCCTCCACCATGAATGGAGTTTAAGTTCTCAAAACTATCATAAAACAGTGTCTCAGTCATCAGGCAGTGAATTCATAACCATTTCATGTAGGAACTTTCTGTGAGGGAGCTTTTAGAGGTGGATGTCTGGTTCCTATCACCACCACTGTGAACAGTTCAGACTCGGCAAGTTTCTCTAGAACAGAGCGTTTCACACCAAACCACTCTGAACCGCTCTGAAGAGCTCTGAACCGCTCTGATTACACCTTAACCAGTTAATTATGTAGATGATTTTGGGAACTGAAATTCTGATTTAAAGGTAAGTGTGTTTAATCTGTTGGTCAAAGAGTTAAAGCCGTTTTATTGGTTTTAGGAGATTCTGCTTGCTGCAGCAGCTTTTAATCAAACACATCAGAAAATCTGCAAACATCAAAACACATTCAGAGAGATTTCAGTAAATAAAGGAAGCTGACCGCTTTACTGACAGGGGAGAGCTTAGAGTCCAGTAGAGACCAGTGAAATCCAGTAGAGTCCATTCTGTTTCCTGGAGAAGAACTGAAGTGGATCTGAACTGAAAGTCAGTAAGTTTCACACTGAAGTCACCTGAATATTTATTTATTAATTTAATTACATTTAAATAAAAACACAACGGCTCATATTTAAGCGTATCATTATATTAAGCGTATTACTGTTCATGTTATAAAGCAAAAAAAAAAAATGAAATAATACAAAGTTGTTGTTGAAGAAGAGCACTTTTACGACAGTGGAACAGAAACTGCAGCCATTATGCAAAATCAAAATTACACTTTCTGTTAAATTCGATTTCTATAAAATTCTTTATTCTGATTGTTTTCTGATAAAGCCAAATGTTAGTTCAGCCTCATCTCCTCCAGATGTTCAACGCCATGTTCTGCCTGATCTAGATCTGTGGTGTTCAGTCCTGCTTCTGGAGATCCACACTGCAGAGCTTAGATATGCCCCTGAACTAACACACCTGATCT